CTGGCCTTCTAATATTCTGGAGAGCACAAGACTTAGGAAAGAATGCTAGGTACTAACCCAAAATCCAGCACAATACTACACAATCATTATTTCCATTATGCATGAGATCTCTTGTTATTCCATTTTCTAATCATTTATGACAGATCGATAGGAATGTATCATTTTTCCATGTTAGTCTTATAACCCCAAGAGCCCCAGAATGCAAATATGAATGCCCAAAAGGCCAAATCTATATTTTCTTCCCTTCCTTTCCCTTACTCCCTCTTTCCTTCCCTCTCTTCCCCCTTGGCTCTCTCTCTCTCCTTCCCTCCCTCCTTTCTTCCTCCTTCCTTCCCTTCCTTCTCCCTTTCCTCCCTCGCTTCCTCCTTGACTCCCTCCTCTCTCCCCTCCCTCCCTTCCTTCCTGCTTTCTTTTGTTTCCTTCTTTCCTCCTTCCTTCCCTTCTTTCCTGATGTACTTCTTTCCTTTTTTTTTTTTTTTTTAAGTCTTACAAGACTTTCAGTAAGTTTCAGTCCACTCAGTGGTTAAAAATGTATGTTACTCACTCTATCACAATAATAACCATCTGCTAAACACTTTTCAGATGCCAAGTTTTAAATATAAGAGAGTGTGTGTGTGTGTGTGTCATTGCTTGTATATGTACAGATATAGATAAGATAGATTTTGTGTGAACTTTTTGCACCCTTACAAAAATGAGATAGCATTCACTTTTTACAGTCAAATGAAAGTTGAGGTTTATAAAGATTGAGATACAGCCAAGTTCTTCACTTAGCAAATATTACAGCAGAGAGTCAATCTTAGTTTTAACTTATTTCAAAGCCTATAATCTTTCCATTTGTCAGAATTGTCTCAATACACTCAGCAAATGTGACAGTTTCTAAGCAGAATTCTGTATCTAGTTAAGAATTTGTCTGTCTGGGATTCACTGTGTATACTAAGCTTAGTTCAGAGAGACGAACTGAATTTCAGACCCATCATGAAGAGATAAAGCCCTTCTTATGTTGTAGTATAGCCTTGAGGTGTTCAGGTGACTAAGCATTGAGACTAACAGTTCCATTGCTTGTATGTAAGCAGAGGTGGATGGAAATTTTCCTATTCTCAAAACTTATTCCAGAAAATAAATATTTCCTCTGTTTCTATGAGTTATTTCCACAATAGAAATATTAAATAAAGGTTAATATTTGCTGAGTAAGTATCATATATGAGGTATTTTGCATACATTCATATTAACGAAAGTGTTTGCATGTTTTCAACCAGTAGATGCCTTGAATCACACTAGCAAAAATGTATGTGCTAGAAAGCCTATATGATCTGTTACATTATCACACTAAAATGTATTCCTTATTTTTCTTCCTCTTGCTTTGGGCAAATTCTGTTTTCTTACATATCCTTAGGAACTTCAACTTGGAAAACATTAATTCACCAACGTATTTCCTATGGATAGGCTGATATTGAAAGTAATCCATCGATATCCAACTTGAACCACCCCCTCCCACCACAACAACTGGCAGATAGAGATAAATGCTGTCTAAGAAATTCATGCAAACTCAGATTACAATGTTCATATCAACTGATTTCTATTTTGGTTCATCTTACTAGATATTTTTTTTTTTTTTTTTTTTTAGATGAAGTTTTGCTCTTGTTGCCCAGGCTGGAGTGCAATGGTGTGATCTTGGCTCAGTGCAACCCCCGCCTCCTGGGTTCAAGCAATTCTCCTGCCTCAGCCTCCCAAGTAGCTGAGATTACACACATGCACCACCATGTCCGGCTGATTTTGTATTTTTAGTAGAGACGGGGTTTTCCATGTTGGTGGTCAGGCTGGTCTCACACTCCCTACCTCAGGTGATCTGCCCATCTCGGCCTTCCAAAGGGCTGGGATTATAGATATGAACCACAGTGTCCGACCTTACTAGGCATTTTTATACTTCATATAACAAATTTTCCTATAAAATACTTCAAAACAATATTTTCTAAAAGACAAAAAACTATAAGTATAGTTAAAATAAATAACCAATTTTTACAAGTGGTAAAACACAGATGTCTATAACAACCGCCTCAAAGATTTTATTGTTGAATAACAATTTTGTGTGGAACTGTTCCATCTCCCTTCCTGATGATAAGAAATTACACTTTTCATTCATCTGGACACATGACCCTTGAAAGATTTCTGTGGACACTCTAATTGCTAGGAAATTCTTTCAAGGATTCAGTCAAAACTGTCTCCATCCACCTTCCTTCATTGTTTTGTCAATTATGGCCACACTGTAAACATTTTAGCAAGTAGTAGCACTGTTAATTTACACAATACTTACGTAGCAACTAATATGAAAAGTTTTTCTTTTTAAATCTCTATGCAATTGTCAAGAGCTTTAGAGACGAAAATTAGATTTCCTGTTTTTGAAATTCAGAGCACATTCTACTCTATTCTTATCAACTGTAATACTCTCTAAGAGATGCATACATTGATACTTAGAGCTTTCTTTTCATGAGGTGATGAGAATCCTGGCAATGCTAAAAATCTATAAACCTAGAGCCACTCAGACTCTTCTCTAATGAAATAAAGCTCTTCCTCTTGGAGCTGAGCCAGTGTCTCCTGGATGAGTTCTATAAGTATTGAGTGGAACATTTCATTCTCAAAGGCTGAACTCAGGACCCCTTTTAATATATATTGCCTCTTATTATGGCAGGAATTGAGTTGGTTATGTCAAGATGAAACTGTCAGTTTTGCAGCTGAATGTTTTCAGTCGTTACAGTGACAGATTAGGTGCAAGTATATGAATGAAATGGTGTTTCATTTAAAGTGACACTGTGAATCCACTCTCATCAGATTCATCAATTCTAATTCACTTACGTCTTTTTGGAGTGCTCAGTTTGTCTCATTTGTTTCAATTGCTTCCTATTCTACCAATATGCTTTTCAATTAGTTGGAAGGAACAACAACAAAAATGACATAATAAGAGTGCACTTTGCTCTGCCAAACCTGATTCTACAGGTTCTCTGTGCAGTTAAATACACTCTACAACCTCAACTTGAAACCTGAATTTATTAATAGATTGACAAAGAGCCTCTTCTAAAAAATTAATTAGACTTCTGTTGAACTACATGAACTTAATACAATTCGGTTGGTAATTGATAGAATGCACCAGTTCACAGGTGTCCAAGACATTTACTCTATTCTATTTCCATCTGCTGATGTGTCTAGTATAAATTCAAATTGCATATCCATCATCCATCTGGAAGTGAGCATTAGATCTGTAACCCTCTTACATACAGCTGCTGTGATGTGTTCAGTGGTTTGGTTGTCTTTCTTTGAATGTCACAAGCATCATAAACAACTTGGTTCTAACATTACTAAATTCAATTAAGATGCTTAGATTTAACTTATCTCTAGTATTCACAGATATCTCAGACGTAAAACAAAATTTAGAGTTTGATTTGTTATCGTGCATCCATGATTATGAGTTAAGAACAAAATGCTTTATAAATAGGAAATAACAGCTTCCAAGATGCTTACGTTTACAGACAGAATACAGATTATTATTATTATTTTGTGTATGTAACCTATTCTTAAATCATTCTTATTGTAACAAACAGAATTTTGATGGCAAAATTTGGCTTACAATCTGGCTAATGTTAGAAAATAGCAATGGATTAATTTATATGGAACTCAATTTTTTCACATGATTTGTGGTTTCACTGTTAGATACTTCCCCTTCCCTTTCTTTATACTTTCTGTTTAATTTCTTTTTTTTTAATGTGGTTGCTTTTCTTCACAAGATTAATTTAGAGATACCTGGTACAGTTAGGGCCTGCAGTCGAAATGACAGACTGGCATGATTTAATGAAATGAATAAAAGACACATGGAATGTAACATTTTCTGCAATGAGCTGCCAAAATTTGAGTGTGGCTAGTAGAAAGTAAAATCAAATACCATGGTAAAACTTTAGACTCCTACACCTTCCAAAAGAACCGCTCTCACACCCACATTTAGTAACTTATCTTCTTTAATGCTAATTTTTCAAGCATGAAGGTACTGAAAGCATAGAGTAGGATGAGAAAACTCCTCTCCGATTTTGAATCAATTAACCTGGATTAACCTAACAAATTAAAGGATAAACATGTGACAGTCTTGAAATTGGGTACACTATTGTCAACATTTTATAAATAAGCAGATTAAGATAATCATTCTACAGTCATAGTGTACTGACCTTCTTGATTGATTGTTTAAAAAGTACATCAGAAGTATTGTAGTTAAGTAGCACACAATGGATTTAGTTCAAGATAGTCTACTGGTACCATTTAGTCGTAAATAACAAACGTCTAATGATGTATTTCAAAGTATTTTAGAGTATTCATTTTAAAGGATTATTATTTACACTATGCCCAGTTTTACTCAAAATAAGCATAATTGCTCTTTAGTAATTTCTATTGGTTATGTAAATATGTAAGAATGAGGAGCTGCTGTGCAAACTGCATAAAAGCCATCTTCCTTCAGGAGATCCCCTTTCCTGGTGGGGATGACTCTACCTCTCTCCACCCATGACTTCCTACTTATTTAACTTAAGCATTGCCTTAAAATTCAAGCACATAAAAAAGCACAAAAGCCATCTACTAGCACATTATATATGTCAGTTGAGAAAGATATCATGGAACAGGAGGCTATATCTGAGTATTGTTTTCCTTATTGCTTTCAGCAATTTTATAACACATTCGTTTACTTGCCATCCTCATATCAAACTAAACAATTAGTAAGGACAAATATTTTACCTTGTTTCACTTTTAATAATATTTGCAGAATGTTTGTAGGGCATTTATGTTACTGACACAATCAAGGTGTTTTCAATTCAAAGAAAAATCACTTAATTTGAGAAAATAACATATTAAGCTTTAGCATATTCAGCAGTTGTTATTAGGAGCTCCATTAAGGATATGCATGAATCTTATTTTTTTTTCAACATTTCTTTCAATTTTATAGGCATTTTAATAAAGATGAACTGTACCTGCTTTCTGAAAACAGGGTCCAAAGTATGCTCTTGACAAAGGAACTGGTTTTTGTAAAGTAATCCTTTTGCAGTAGTCATGCAAAAATGATGCTTAGTAGATCTTGAATGGCATTAAATGGCAATCCTTTAAAGGCACCTGTTAAGAAAGAATATATACTATTGTGATTACAAATGATCCTTTTTCCAACTTTGCTTGACCAAAACCCATGCTTCTTATTAAATACTTTATATCAATGTTCTATTTAGTTATACATACAAGCACCATACTTTTTACCCATATAAACAAATACTTACAGCTTCTAATTAGGTATATTTATATAGTTGCTTTTTCAGATGCATTGTTTTCCTTTATAATTTATATTCAATAATATAACAGAATGTCACTCTAAGCTTACATGGGTTACAATAGCTTAAAATATTTAACACACTAACTTATAGCTGCATTCCCGGCTTTTCTTAATTTTTATAAGATAATAATATGAAAATTCTATACTATTCCTAGCATTTGCAATGTTAAATTTATTATCTATTTTATTTAAGAATTTACAATATGCATTTTTCTTAAAAGCTTATATGTGATTTACTTTTTAAAATAAGTTTGAGAATTATGCTGGTGCATATTTCCCGGTGACCTGAAGGAAATTTACATGAACGGGGCAGGGCCACCTCTATTCTCTTTATTTCTAATGAAGTTCACTGTTTAATGAAATTCTCCATACAACGAAATTTATATTTTTAGTAAATTTAATCTTTGATAGATTTATTGATGTTTTAGCATCGAAAACGTAGCATAGGTACTCATACATATATTTCAAATAGGAATCTAATAACGTATTTCTTATAGTTTTCAGCAGTTTTATACCATCTTCCTATACTTGCCATTCTCATATCAAACTAAAAATTTAGTGATGAAAATTATTCTACTGTTTTTCTCTTTAATAATATTTCCAGAATATTTATAGAGCATTTATGTTTATTGACATAATCAAGGTGAGTAAGGAATACAAGTTTTAAACTTTAGATTGATGACCTCAGAGTGATTGAAGGCCGTCAACTGAGATTTCATGTTAAAATACTACCAAGAGTCCAGGGAAATCTAAGGTACATATTTCATGATCAGATTGAGAAAAAGTATTTCAATTGCTTGTAGTTGTCACTACCAAAGGGTATTAACCTTTATGATTTCTATTTATATTATTTGGAACTTGAAGAAATTGACATTTTTGTTAAAAAGAAAAGTAGTGAAATATCAGCAATTTTAAATATGTCAACCTAAGATTTCCTTTAATCTCAGCTTGCATTTCTGATATCAAGTCTAAATTATAGATATTATTGTAGTATACAAGTTGTGAACAGGAAGATCTTTTTGTCTTCCTTGCTTCCTCCTTCTGTCTCTTCCTCCCTTCCCCTTTCCCTTGCTTTTGTCCCCCTTCCTTTTTTCTTCTCCCTTCATTATTTTCTTAATATTGTAACAATTTTACATATCTGCTTTATGCCTTAGTGCACAAAATTAAAAACTAAAAAAGTCAGGCATTTTGTTGAGGTTTACAAACTTAGGTGGAATGATAGTTACTTAAGCAAAAAGCAAGTCTTTATTTTAGGATTTGACAAGTTATGTTTTTTTTTCATCTTGGACTGTCATTAAGATGGATTTTTTTGGAAGTCAGGTTTTTGTGTTTCTTACTGTCATTATTTCTTAGCAATTATACAGTGCACCATTTTTCCCTACAATATGCAAATATTGAGAACATTAAATGAGATAATACACATAAAAAGCTTACCAACATGTCTAGCACATATTGAGTAAATAAGAAGTATCACTAGTTACTTTCACATTGCATTATGAACTAACATAGCAAAATAAAAAAATTATAATGAACACTGTTGTTGTGGTGATGGTTGTTATTTTCAAATTCCTTCCTCAAGTTTGCTTCTCAGAAGCAAAGCTTTTCCGTTTTATCTCTGGAATAAACTCATGTTTGTCTTTAAGACAGTCATCAAGTTATCAATGTCTTTCTTCACAGAATTGGAAAAAACTACTTTCAAGTTCATATGGAATCAAAAAAGAGCCTGCATTGCCAAGACAATCCTAACTCAAAAGAACAAAGCTGGAGACATCATGCTACCTAACTTCAAACTATACTATAAGGCTACAGTAACCAAAACAGCATGATACTGGTACCAAAACAGAGATATAGACCAATGGAACACAACAGAGCCCTCAGAAATAATACCACACATCTACAACTATCTGAGCTTTGACAAACCTGACAAAAACAAGAAATGGGGAAAGGTTTCCCTATTTAATAAATGATTATGGGAAAACTGGCTAGCCATAAGTAGAAATCTGAAACTGGATCCCTTCCTTATACCTTATACAAAAATTAATTCAAGATGGATTAGAGACTTAAATGTTAGACCTTAAACCATAAAAGCCATAGAAGAAAACCTAATACCATTCAGGACATAGGCATGAGCAAAGACTTCATGTCTAAAACACCAAAAGCAATGGCAACAAAAGCCAAAATTGACAAATGGGATCTCATTAAACTAAAGAACTTCTGCACAGCAAAAGAAACTACCATCAGAATGAACAGGCAACCTACAGAATGAGAGAAAATTTTTGCAATCTACTCATCTGACAAAGGGCTAATATCCAGAACCTACAAAGAACTCAAACAAATTTACGAGAAAAAAAAAACAACCCCATCAAAGAGTAGGCAAAAGGATATTAACAGACACTTCTCAAAAGAAGACATTTATGCAGCCAACAGACACATGAAAAAATGCTCAGCATCACTAGCCATCAGAGAAATGCAAATCAAAACCACAATGAGATACCATCTCACACCAGTTAGAATGGTGATCATTAAAAAGTCAGAAAACAACAGGTGTTGGAGAGGATGTGGAGAAATAGGAACACTTTTACACTGTTGGTGGGATTGTAAACTAGTTCAACCATTGTGGAAGACAGTGTGGCAATTCCTCAAGGATCTGGAACTAGAAATGCCATTTGACCCAGCCATCCCATTACTGGATATATACCCAAAGGATTATAAATCATGCTGCTATAAAGACACATGCACATGTATGTTTATTGTGGCACTATTCACAATAGCAAAGACTTGGAACCAACCCAAATGTCCACCAATGACAGACTGGATTAAGAAAATGTGGCACATATACACCATGGAATACTATGCAGCCATAAAAAAGGATAAGTTCGTGTCCTTTTGTAGGGACATGGATGCAGTTGGAAACCATCATTCTCAGCAAACTATCGCAACAACAGAAAACCAAATACTGTGTGTTCTCACTTGTAGGTGGGAACTGAACAATGAGATCACTTGGACACAGGAAGGGGAATATCACACACCGGGGCCTGTTATGGGGTTGGCGGGGGAGAAGGATAGCACTGGGAGATATACCTAATATAAATGACGAGTTAATGGGTGCAGCACACCAACATAGCACATGTATACGTATGTAACAAACCTGCACATTGTGCACGTGTACCCTAGAACATAAAGTATAATAAAATTAAATTTAATTTAAAAAAGAAAAGACAGTATGTTGTGATGATGAGACTACTTCATCTGCAGTCAGAGTCAGATTTCTTTAGGTTTCTACCATACACTTATGTTTAGATCTTAAACACTTATTTACCATTTCTGGGAGTAACTATGTCAGATCCTATGCCTACTCAAGGAATTATAATAAAAGTCTTAAGAATAACAGATGAGAAAATTATTCCTAAACTGAAAGTTTTACATATGTTAGTTATTACTCAAGTTTCGCTTTATGAAAAACAATGACCTTAGCCAACTTATATTTTTCTCTCCATTTCTTTGAAAACTAGATCAAATCTAAATAAGTAATCATAGGAGACTTACTGAAAAATAAGGTAAGTTGTCTTATTATTTCACAACCTTGCTTCACACACCATAGGTCAACATACATTTATCTTTTATTGTTTTGCTGTGATTTTGTAATCTAACATGAATTTTACTTTACAGATGGAAAAATAGCCTAAAATTGTAAAAGCCATGTAATCACCTGATATTCTTATTTTCTTTTTTACAGTCATAACTCCCTCTATTTCAAATCGTCACCAATGTCTGTATCTTCTTTTTAGAGTTTATCTCATTTCTCTCTTTTATTAGGCTGGGATACAAAAATTTGTCCCTTATCCTAGGGTGGCTGTCTTGAATAGACTCTGTCTGTAATTTTCTATTCTTATTGTGTTATTGACCAGAAAAACAAATATTTAAAATTAATATGAAATAAAATCTTGTAATTAAACCTTAAATTGATAATTAATTTTTTATCAACAACGTAGTAACTTCAAGATAGTATTCAACATTGTTCCCTAAGCTTCAAATGACCACTTCCCACCCTTGTCCACCTAAAGAGCTTCTATTCATGTTAAAATTCTGGTTTAGATATGAGATTTTTAAAAAAGTTTTCCCAATAATTTTTGTGTTCTTTCTACTTCTGAAACTTGCTTATTAAATGTATTGCCCAACACTAAGTGATACATCATTGGTGCTCTTATAAGAAAAGGAAATTTGGGTACACAAGGAGACACCAGAAACATGTGGAAGCAGTGTGGTGATCACGTGAAGACAGGAGTAAGGCAGCCATCTGCAAGCTGTGGGAGAGGCCTCACAAGAGACCAAGCCCGGTGCAAACTTCATATTGAACTTCTAGCCTCCAGAATTATGAGAAAGTTTTCTGTCATTTAAGCCACCCAGTCTGTGATGTTCTGTTTTATGGCAGCCCTAGAAAACTAATACAACTGGGGACAAGGAAATCTGGGGAATAGACATATAAGTTTATGGACACTCTACAATTGACTAAGGAATAGGCACTAAAGAAACCAGTACACAGAATGGCTTGGCAAACTAAAACCAGTCTCTTTCATCAGCCATTGTGGTACGAGCACATTGTAGTATAAGCACACTGACACATTCACAATGTGGCCACGTTGTCAGAGATGGAGGTTATGCATGGTGCCAAAAACATGAATCCTCATTCAACAAAAGCTGATCTACCTACTACCTCTGTGGAAATCTCAACCTTCCAGCAACTGAGCACTACACTGAGATTACCCACTACCCTTCACCAATATGATAC